CTAGGCAGCTGCCTAGTATTGCCTAATGTTAACCCCCCCGGAGGCAGGAGGCGTTTACTAAGCTCACCAAACAGCAGCCAGAGTAAAAAGTCAGCGGCAGAACGTCTCTGTAAAGCTGGTATAGCTGCATTTCTGCTGCCAGGAGGCTGAACAGGAAGTAGTGCAGCAGAGACAGAGCAGCGTGCAGCGCCTGATGCCGTCTAACCGTCATTTACATGCGATGAGTCACAGCATGAATGTTGAGCTTGTGTTGGTTACCATCCTAACCACGTTCCTCACTTCTTTCCCTTTCAGAATCTGCCTAAAGGTGCGGATAGTGTGGGCTTCCTCAAACTCACCTACATCTCCAAGGTCAGTCTGAGAAGCACAGGAATGTTCTGGCTCCTTCAGGGCAGCAGAGCTTTGGTTCTGCTTTCCTCACCCACTGGGTCTCAGGTTCTATTCTAGATGTTCAGCTCCTGTTGGGGGGGCAGACTGCTTGTTCCTGGATCTGGATTCAGAGCAGAAAGTGAAGGAAATATGAGCCGTTACCATTTAAAAAGCCTCCACACCTGGTTCCCTTTCTGCTGGACGCCACAACCAGACGGCTGAATAGAGAAATCCCACCAACAGGAACCAGAACCATCATGAAAAAAGTATTCAACCATTCATCCCGGTTAAATAAACAGAGATCGATGGATTTCACTCAGTCGGATCTTTATTTTACCTTTGCAAAGAGAGAACAGTTCATCATACGACCCTAATGGCGCCGTAATCAGCCCTGTTCTGACTGAGCAGCGTTCTTCCTCCTTACTGACAATAATGGAAAATAGTCAGAGTCTAAACTAATTACAGACACTTTGGTTAAACAGTAAAATGTTTGAATAAACCTGGAGAAAGAATCTGGTTTGTTCTGGAAGAAGCTATAACTGGTCTACAATCATTTTCACTCAGGTATTGTTTGGCCTGACAGGTGAAACTGAATGAAAACTTTTATAATAAATAGGATAAATTAATAAATGAAATAAAAGAAATTACATTTTCCACACAGCCGGTCCAAAAAAGTTCAAAAATCAATCCTCTGGACTTTGTTTCCAAGTTTGAAGACGTTTCTCTTCCATCCAGGAAGCTTTTTCAATCCAAAATGTCAGAAATAGCGTTTAGTTCCAGGTTTATCCAGCAGCCCAACAAAGCCTGGTTTTAGTTTAGAAAACATGCAAATAGAAACGGATGAACGGGTCCCCCCCTTTGGAATGGGGGTCGTTTGGCTTCTTTGTTAGCCTGCAATGCCCCATACCTGTCTATGTCTCTGAAAGGGGGGTCGTTAGGGGGAATAGTTGGTCTGGATGAACAGGCGAGGTCTTCTGTTCTCCTGTAAAGGGGTTGGAGCTGCGATGATAGCGGGAAGGAATAAACTCTATCGCTGCATTGGAGGTTTCTGAAATCTGTAATCTGGTCCCCCCCCCCCGTTTAAGGTTGGTTTTTCTTTCTTAACATAGATGGCTTCCTTCTCAACCACCTGTCTGCTTTGTCCAAAACATGAACATTCTGGTCCTCCCAGAATGTCCTTCGTCCATCAGGTGTAGCGCTGCATTTACTGCATGCACCACTCTGCCAGCCAGTAGAGCTGAGTCAGACCCTCTGCTCCTCAGAGAGACTCCCACCGTCTGCCTGCTCCTGTACAAGCTCTGCGCTGGTGGCATCCAGCTGTGTGGAGCAGCGGCAGCTCTCCTTGCAGTGCCTGATGATTGTCTCTGTGGGACGCTCCGTCCTCCCGCCGTGTTCCTCTGAGTTTTCTCCTCTTGTCTGCAGGTCAGTGATGCCACCAAGCTCAGGCCGAAGGCAGAGTTCTGCTTTGGTAAGTTCATTGTTTCCCCCCCGCTGCTCTGATTGGCCGTTTCCCTCTGTCCCACCATCAGCCTCCGTCTCCATCGTCTCAGTTTTACGTAAAGCTCGGCTTTCCAGTCCCTCGTTTCCTTCCTTCCCTCCTTCCTCATCTTTCCACTTCCGCTCGCCTCCTTCCCTTCCTCCCTCCCTCCTTTCCTCGTCTCTTGAGTTCACTTCCTCCCTTTTGTCCCGTGCTCCCTGTTTTGCTCCTGCATGGAGCAGCAGCTCTTTGTCACTCAATGGGAGGAAACGGTTCAGTGACAATGACCCAGTGGCTGTGTACGGACGTTTGCATCTAGATGGGATGTTAATATGGAGGCGTGCATCCTCCTGCCTCTGGGAAACCATAAACAGGCAGATATTTTTAGATCTCCAGGGGTTTCTCTCCTTCTGTAGAGCCGAGCCCAAGCAGCAGCGTTTATAAACTTCCTTTTGTTGCTGCAGTTATAAACGCAGGCATGAGGAAGTTCTACCTGCAGGCCAACGACCAGCAGGACCTGGTGGAATGGATCAACGTTCTGAACAACGCCACCAAGATCACAGTGAGTCTCACACACACAACCATCCAATCATTGATTCTGGTTGCCTGAATGACTCCTCGGATCGCAGCGTAGTGGACCTGCAGATTTAATGAAGGATCCTGCAGTGGAAGCAGAATCCGGACAGTTCTTTACCTGCAGAAGGTGGAAAAGCTTTGCTTCAGATAGAATCAGTTTTCCAGGTGAATCAGAACAGATACGCTGCAGACAAGCAGAGGAGGATGTTTGTGAAACAAAGACGTTCAGCACAGATCGGTCCGTTAACTTTGTTCCTGGACTTCCTGTCCGCGGCGGGATGATCAATCCAGGACCAGGTTAATCTGCAGCTCAGGACTAAAACCTTCCTCTGCTGGTGTGTTTCAGGTGCCAAAGTGTGGGGAGGGTCAGACCGCCGACGTGGAGACCCCACAGGAAGCTCTTGGAGCTATGAAGCAGGTCTCCTATAAGACAGAGATCGTAGCTGGAGTTCCCATCATCACAGCCACACAGGTGAGTCCTCCTCAGGTGGTTTATTAGCAGCAGCTGGCAGGTTTGGTCCCGTCTCTGCAGGCATGTGGTCCCATGATTCAGTCTGAAGCCTGCAGAGGGCTGCGGGGTCAGAACCTGAAGCCTCACGTCCTGCAGGGCCAGGCGCGTCCCTCTGCTGAGACAGAACCTCCCCCAGAGAGCTGAGGAGGATTAGGAGAACACCAGGTGGTCAGATGGAACCAGAGCAGAACTTTCTGACACAAACCGTGTTAAACTGAGCTGGATCCTCACGACACCACGCCTACTGTGGAGCATGGGGGTGGAACCAGCATGCTGTGGGGCTGTTTCTCTTCAGAGCAGACAGGATGATGATCCCTGTTCAGAATAGGATCATGAACAGTGAGATTCACTGATAGCTTTGAAGATGAAAGGTTGCTGGGTCTTCCAGCGCGACAACGGTCCAAACGCAACGCTAGGCAACCAAGGAGGAGCTCCGTAAAAAACTTTCCAAGCTCCTGGATTCCTTAGAGTTCTTCTGCCTCTCATAGTTGATGTGAACTTATGATGATGATGATTAGACTGATGAAGATTGCAGTCATCTTCTCTCTTTCTGAGTCCCAGTGTGGGAAGGAGCCACAGGAGGAGAGAGTCCAGGTGCAGCTGAGCCTTTTGATGGAGGATTGGTTGAAAGGAACCTTCCTTTGCCTGTGTAGATGCTCTTTGGATGGAGGGATGCTGCCGTCCATCCCGTCCTCCTTTAGGAGGAGAGGAATCCAGGAAAATGGAGGAACCTGAATCCAACAGGACAGGTCCTCCAATCAGTGGGATATCATCCCAGTTTAACAACAGTTCTGTCCCTCCATGCGGCGCTGCCTTTGGCCTCCTTTTATTCAGGAGCTGATCAGTTTGTGAACTCCTCCATCTTTGTAGTTTTCATCCTGCTGAAAGCTTCGGCCATGCTGGGGCTCCGGGGGGCCGCCACCAACGGACCTGCGCTGCAAAAATGATCTTAAAACGAGTAAAAGATTCTTAAAATAAGTTTATTCACCTTTAAATCGAGCAGGTAAATAAGCTGCTTTACCAATGGCGTATTTCTACCCTTAGAAAACAATAATTAGATATTATAGACTTAAAATAAGAGACTGCAGTTGTTTATTTCTTATTTGAAATGTAAATTGTTTTGTTCCATTAGAAAAGTGTCTCACTTTCCTCCTCAATTCTAGACAAAATGCACTTATAAAAATGACCTATTTAGATTTAAATGTTTTGCAGTGCATGCTGGGTCCCCGGGGCCCCGGGGCCCCGTCACCGACGGACCTGGGCTCCGCTCTGGAAAAAATAGAAATATAAATAAGTAACTTTTATTATTTATAATTTATTCTTAAAATACATGCATTTTTTCTTTTATTGAGGAAGTAAGTGAGACGTTTTGCTAATAGATCAAGACGATTTAAAAACTATTGCATTGTCTTATTTCAGGTGCGTTTGATTTAATTACCTTTAATGGAAGAATATTCATTCCATTCACTGATTGTTTTATTTACCTCCTCAAATTAAGAATAAATACACTTAATTTAAGAATTGTTGATTTATTTCTCGATGGTGTTTGCAGTGCAAGACCTCCTGCTTGGTGACCAGTTACTGACTGGGCGACCAGCTGTCAGAACCACTGGTCCCAGCAGGCATGGGGCGACCGCCCTGAGGAACCCCAGTGGTGCTGCCAGCTGAGTCTGAACCTGTTTGAAAGAAACTGGATCCGTTGTCCAGAAGTCGGCTGTTGATGACATGTTTCCAGTTGGTTGTTGGTCCATCAGGATGAGCTGAGCTCCTGTAGAACATCTCTTTCTGTGGATCCGGGTCTTTTTAAGCAGCTCAGACTCCTGCAGGTCTGCAGGCCGTTGTTTCCTGCCTCCCTCTCCTTCCTCCCCGCCGTGGTGGTCCCCTCCAACATGTCGCCATGTGTTTGGCTGTTTGAGATGAAGCTGGTTTCTGTTTCAGGAGCAGAGCGAAGGCCAGAACGGGTCAGAGCGAGGGAGGCGGGCTCAGAACCAGCTGCCGTACTTCCTGTCCAGAGGGGTGCAGGATCAGGCTTTCATTAAGGCTGGATACTGCGTTAAACAGGGAGCTGTGGTGAGACCCGGCGCCATCAGAACCCGCCATGTCCAGAACCTCCAGACGCTCAGGTCTTTTTTCTGCTTTTCAGATGAGGAACTGGAAGAGGAGGTACTTCATCCTGGATGAAAACGCTCTCAGCTACTACAAGTCTGACCTGGTGAGACAGGAAGTTGTTTATTGGCTGCAGACGGAGCAAAGCTGATGATCTATAAGAAATGTTTTTTAGCAGCATATGAAGCAGGAACCGTGCTGGTTTGTTCCCTGTTTGTGTCCTGATCAACATCCTCTTTAGGTCAGAGTGTAAATGGAGCGGAGGTTGCTGATGTTCTAACAGGGATCTAAATACCGAGGCCTGGTTATCTCTGCACGCTGCAGCACGCGCTCTGAATTCCTGCTCATGCCTGGAGAGATGGCTGAACCATGTCCCAACCAGGACCTGTCGGAGCACATGAGGACACACCCAGAGCGGCTGAGCGTGTTCCCTCAGGCGGCAGGTTCATGCCTCAGCAGATGTTAGCTTGGTCACATGGTCTGACTGAGGAAGTCAGAGCTGCTGGTTGGACGCCTCCAGCTCTGGGAGAACGGACCCGTTTCACCATCATCCTCCGCCTGCCGGTCTGGGCCAGGAGCTGACTCAGGCTGTGGCTGACCCGTTACCAGGGCAACGCAAAGGCAAACAGGAAGCGTTTGTGATGATGATGGAAATGTTTGAACCAGGGATGATAATCCACCTCTGATCATCTCTGCTCTGCCAGATTAACTGTTTCCTGCTCAGAGTGTTGTAGTGATACCGGCATCCAGAAGAGGGCGCCCTGTTCAGAGGCGCTCTGTCTGTGTAACCGTAGATTTCCATGACATTTTCACCAAAGGCTTCCCTCAGGTGATGGCCCAGGTCATAATCTGGATTATGACCTGGTTGGTATGGGGTTTACTGCCCTCAGCTGCCTCCACCTCCCATCAGCCCCTGCAGCGCTCTCACATCCTGCAGAAAGATGGAGCAAAGGAGATAAAACAAAGTTTGATTTATAAAACATATGTGGTCTTTCTCAGGACCGGGAGGCGCTGAGAGTCATCCCTCTGAAGGAGATCCAGAAGGTCCAGGAGTGCAAACAGAGGTCAGTGAGCTGCTGGATCCTTCAGAGCCTTGCTGAGGCCTCAGTGTTTAAAAGCTGCTCTCTTCTGTGTTCTGCAGCGAACTGATGATGAGAGACAACCTGTTTGAAATGGTCACCAACTCCAGAACCTTCTACATCCAGGTGCTGCTTTCATCTTTATTCTGCTTAGGATGGATGAGGCTCTGCAGCAGCTTCAACTATTCCCTTCCTGATGGACTGAAAATCTAAATAAATAACATCTCAGACCAACAAATAATGTGAAAGAAAGATCCACCAATGACTGTCAGCTTTTAAAACACACTTTAAACTAAGGGAACATCACTGTTAGTGCAGCTCATCACCCTGAACTTTCTCCATCTGGGCTCCGTTTCATGAAGCAGGTTTAACAAACTCAGATTAAAATCCTTAACTCTAAATTAATCCAGCCTAAAGTCTGAAACTCGGCTGCTATCAATTAGTTCAATCAACTCTAAGTAGAACCAATCAGAGTTTAGCACGTGCACAACAAGTATAAAAGGCCATTATCAGTGGAGAAATGATTCAATCAGTCACCATGACAACAGGCAACAGGAAGTGCCATTACTCCCCCACTGGAACTAGAGATTTGAATACAGAAATGCAAAAAAATAATAATATGGAAATGAAGACAGAGAAACGGAGCTACAGCTGCAAAGGTTAAAGTGTAAATTTATCTGAAGTGGGCTACGGCAGGCCGTTTTACATTTATTAAAGCCCTCTCCTCTCTGTTCCAACTGTAGATCACTAAAATAAGATTCTTCCTGACCAAAATCACACTCCTAGACTGAACTGTAATAATATATTCTATAAATTACAGTTTTGTAATTACAGAATGTCATGTTTTTTTGAAATGGTCATTATGACAAAGAAAACATTTTTTTTCTGATATCAGAATATGTAATCAGTAAAAGTAGTACATATCGAAACGGCTTGCCATAGCCTTATGAACACGATAGCATTACGGGATTATTTCTTGAATGTTGGTGGATCAATGTATTTATTTAGGTGAAATTATCTGTCAGAAGCTGAAAATTAGGTCTGAAAACTTTTTAATAAATAGAACCTGTTCATCATCTCATGGGTTCCTCCTCAAGTTGATTCGTTCTTCTTTTACACAGTAAAGTTGCTGTTTTCAGCCGCTTCTGATGTTATCGTCCCAATAAATGCTTGTTATTAGCGTCTATCAGCCCCATAGAACAGCTTCAGATTGATACTCAGTAGGTTATTACTGAATGAATCCTAACGCTAACTTAGTTCCCTTTTACCCTCCAGCAGAATTAATTATTCTATTTACGTGTTATCTGAAAGTCATTTCAGTAGTTCTTCATTTACTGTAAAGAATTAAAAAGATAAAATTCAGTTTATTTCTATAGCAACATGTCATCTCAGGCACTTTCCAGTTCACCAGATCAAAATGACTCATATTAAACAAACAAAGAACAAATAAATCTCCCATCACTGAGTTGTAGATTCTTCTCCTTATAAAGATTTAATTCTCTGTGAATTAATGTTGATCATTCTTTAATAAGATCCTCGTCAAACAGGCATCAAATGTTTATTAAAACCTAATGTGTCTAACGGACCGAGAGAATAATATATATATTTTTATGTATAAAACTTTAACAAAAATCTGACTAAATGAGGAAATGAAGCATCGTGATTGGCTGTAAGCAGAGCAGAGACTCTGAGTTTACTGAAGGAAACCTGCTGCTGACCAGGTGAGCTCTGGGAGGATGTTACCATGGCAACAGAAACAGGATGAGGAAACTCTCTTTGAGAAACGGAAAACTCAGAGTTTCTCTGATTTCAGGTTTAGAAAACTCAGAGTTTTCAGTAAAGCTGCTTTTTTAAACAGACCTGGAGCTCCCGTTACCATGGGAACCAGCTAAAACTGTCCCTGTGTCTCTGTGTCCTTCAGGCTGACAGTCCAGAGGACATGCACGGCTGGATCAAGGCCATCTCCGGGGCCATAGTCGCTCAGCGCGGGCCGGGACGCTCCGCCAGCTCGGTGCGTATCTCACAGCTGCCAGAAGGTGCTGCCACCTGGTGGCAGAGAAAGGAACTCTTCCATCCTGGGATCAGGCTCATAGTTACTGTTTGTCCAGAGATTCATAGCTTTAAACATTTTTAGAGTTAATGACATGATGATGATGATGATGATGATGATGGTGATGATGTGTTTTTAGTGATTTTCTCACCCAGCCTGTGAAGTTTCTCTCTACAGTCTCTTTCCAAACCTCAGCAGTTCTTCGTCTTCAATGTTTGTTTGGAATTAAAACTAAAATGTTTTTTATTTCTGATTTAAAGTTTGGGATATTTGATGAGAGAAGATTAAAATCAGTGTTTTTATCGTAGTTGTTAGTTTCTGCGGATAAAAAGGTTGATCTTGTAACAGATCCAACCGCAAACAGCTGCTCTGTCTGAGCTGCTGTGACATCATCAGCTGGTTTCTGACCTGCAGGTTAGGAGCAGGTCGCCATGGCGCCGTTAGGGGGGGGGATTGTCTGCCTGCCTGGAACTGAGCTGTAAACTGTTGTTTTCAGATCCGTCAGGCCCGCCGGCTGTCCAGTCCCTGTATACAGAGGTATACTCTGATCTGCACGTATTTGACCCCCGACCCCAACCCTAACCTAACCCCCATTCATCCATCTCTGCTTCCTCCTAATTTACCCCCAAGCTTCCAGCTATTAGAGGGAAACCAGTAATAAATGTCTTCATCTCCTGAATCTACAGCAGACTCCAGAAATGTTTCGCTAACTCTCCGACACTCTTGTCTTTCTGATTCCTCTGTCATCAGAGGCCATCTCTAGAAGTCGTTAACTCGCCCTGATCCAAGGCTGGATCACCCCCAAAGCGCAGCCGTTTTTTATTCTTTACTTTCTGACGTTTTGCAGCTTTTTTCCCTAAGTTTAAACATATTCCCTCGATCTTTCAGATCCCCCTTTATTTATGGACTGGTTTTAACTGGGATTACTTTGACTCTTTCCAATATCCAGTGTGAATTTCATGCTCGTCCTCTGCAGTACAGCAGTGACGTGTTAGCAT